TTCTTCAATGTAGTTTAAATGTCCCTTATGAAATCTTAAACTAAGAGTTTTTAATCTTAATAAGTTACCGAATTTCTCGCCTTTCTTTTTTTCTCTTTATTTTTATTAAAGAAAAAGGGAAGTTATGTGAATTTTAAATTTATTTCTTTTACTATATATACTGATATTAAAACAACTATTATCATCTTAATAATACTTTTATTTGCACAAAAACTCCTAATTTGATAAAAAGAGATACAAATTATTTGTAGCACTTACATACTTGCTTGCCATTTTTTATGATTAATTTAAGATTTTTTTATGCTATAACAAGAGGCATATAACTTCACCGCGAAAGTAATGTAATGTTGTTTTTAACATTTAAGATTATTTTAGTTTGCAGCCTTCAAATAAAATCCCTTGTAAATCCCACAAGAAACCCACGTGGGATTTCCCATGTGGGTAAATACCATATGGTTCCCACAAGTAAGCTATGTGGGATTACCCAAATGGGTTTGAAGTGGCAAAATTCTATACGGATACTATATGAGAAAATCCTATGTGGGTAAATACCACATGTAACCCATGTGGGATTTACCCATATAGGTTTTAAGTGGCAAATTTCCATACGGATACCACAAGGGAAAACCCGTCCCATATAAATCCCATGAATCCCACACAAAACCGACATGGAACCTTTGTGGGACGCGGTTTTAATTTTTACTGGGAAATAACCTCATTATAAAATTGCTGTTTTTCCTTGCTGCGTGTTTCTATTGTATTTTGGAGTAATCTTTTTCTTATAAGACGTGTGTCCAATTTTGATACGCTAGGTAAATTAAAGCGAATAAACTTTCGCAAAATTCCAAACCTTTAGCAATTATTTAAAAAAAAAATTTATTGTAGTTTTTTTAACTTTTTAAAGTCACTTTTTTAGAAAATCGCTTGTACCTGTGTGATATGTCATTTATTATATTTCCAAAATCTCACTTCAGCACAAAATGTGTAAATATTTTAATAAATGAAGCATTTTTTTAATTTTTTGTTGAAATAATTTATTTATTAAAATACTTTGTTTGCTCACTTAAATAAAAATGGAACTTAAAATAGTTTAAAAGAAAAATGTTGAGCCGTATCATAATGATTTTTAACTGCTTTAGCTTGGTTTCATTTCACATTTTACAACCATAAAGTTTTTTTGTGCAAAAAAAAATTTTATACAGAAAAAAAATAGACTACATTATTTTTGTTTTTTCATTTGACTGCTTTGTTATCTGAAAAAGTAACGCAGTAACTTTTACTCTAAGTACATTTTTAATAAGCTACTTTTTAGTTCTAGTTGAGTAAACTTTTTGACCGGTAACTTTTACTTGTACTTGAGTAAAATTTCACTTAAGTAACAGTACTTTTACTCGAATAAATTTTTTTTAATTTTTTTCACCTCCGGTCTGGTTAAATGTTTAATCAATTAAGAGTTTATAAAATAAAGAACACTAGTCTCGATCTTAGTCATGATATTAACGATCTTTTAAAACTTCTCAATCGCAACTTGTACCCGTCTTGAAATGTCAACTTTTCATCGTGTTCGGAAAACCTTCAAAATTATCAATATTTATATTTTAAACTTCCTTACATTGGAAAAATATAAGGAAGTTTATAATAATAATATTTTATATTAATATTTTAAACTTCCTTATATTTTTCCAATACAAGAAAGTTTTAATATATAACAAACACATTCATTAAAAGACATAAACAGGTCACCGTAAGATTGGTTTTTACTTCATTTAAAATTAAAATTTTTTTTTCCACAAAGGATCCTTTTCCTTTAGACTTTAATTCATTGTATATAATTGTTTAATTCATTGTATATAATTGTTTAATTCATTGTATATAATTGTATTCATTGTATATAATTGTTGTCTAATAATTTAAACTAGCCGTAAGCAACCCATAATACGCGTTGTTAGTAAATAAAATTAAAAAAAAAAACGCGTATAGAAAAGCCTAGAAACTACTTTAAAATAGAAAAGTCTAGAAAATGACGTAACTCGACTAATATTAAATTAGCGTATTCATATTATCAGATGCGCAGGCTGTAGATCTTGTTATATTGGCAAAACTACTCGCCATTTAAAGACACAAATCGGGCACCAAAAAAAGAATAAAACTCACATATTTAAAAACATATTCATCTGAATGTTTGTTGTTCTTAATCAAAATTAGACAATTTTATTATATTTTCAAACATGCAAACGTTATCTACGTTTACAGCTTCTGATGTAATATTATTCCAAATATTTACAACTCGTTGAAAAAGCAATATTTACGAATGTCGAATTGACATCGTTGCGAATCTTATAAGTATGACCGCGGGTATATCTATTATTGGTAATTTCAAAAATAGAACTTTTATCTATACAAGTTAAATTGTGCATATTTTTGAAACATATAACAAAATTAAGTTTTAACATCTGAGCTCTAGTGAATCCAAACCAAGCAGCTGTAAAAGGCTATTGTAGCTTAAACAACTCATGTTAACATTTATTTTTGTGAATCTTTTTTTAATACTTTCAATAGACTCTATTGTCATAGTTTAGTGTTGCGACCAAATTGGTGAGAAGTATTCAATAATTGGTCTCATATTAGTCGTAAATAAATGTACGAATATACTAGGAATGTGAGTTTTTAAACCTTTTAATATTAAGTATCACTAGTATTTTCTACATGAATAACTCTGGCAATAAATTTTATGTAGTTTTGGCTGGAGTCCATAGTTACATCAAAATCTTTTGGGTAGTTACATCAAAATCTTTTGGGTTATATGACCAGTTTAAAATTCAATCACCTAACTTGTAATTAAAACTAATACTCTTGTGTTTGAAATAAGTGCTAATTTGTCTGCAAAACATTTTTTGCTGGCAGTTGGTAATTGCCAAGTATCTGACCAAATAATTATTCTATCAAGGGTAAAAGTTAAATTGTGCTTATAATTCATATAACTATAAGAACTGTATAACTTTAAATCATCAGCAACAAGGACACTCGAGATTCCGTCTAGTCCAGATGATAAGTTATTAATAAATAATAAGAACAAAGTTGGTCTTAGCACACTTCACAGAGGTAAACCACTAATGATTTGAATCTGATCTGCTAAAGAACTACTAATCTTTACCTGTTGAAATCTGTCTATGAGAAATGCTGAAATCCACTTTAAAAGTTTACCACGTATTGTGTATAAAGATAGTATAAATAATAGTTTTGAATTAGATACAGAATCAAACAGATGATTGTCGAGTGCAATACTCCAATTGTTGGTAGGTTCTAAAAGATTCGTAAACGTAGAACTTTTATTATATGTTATGCAATAATTATTTACATAACATATAATAAACATACTCAATAATATATTAGTTGACATTTTATGATTTGACAAATGTACAAGTTAAAGAGATGGGTCAATAGTTGTTAAGTTACTCCGCTTTTAAAAATTGAGAAGACAAAAATTTAGCGCCATTGATTAGGAAAAGTGTTTCATGTAAAACTACTCTCAAAAATATATAAAAGAGGAAAACATAAAACGTGAGCTAACTTTTAAGAATTGCATTAGAAAAATTATCAGGGCCGTAAAAGGTACTTGGATTAATTCCCATTAAGGATTTTAAACACTGACTCCACGGAAAAATAACCCGTGTCAATTCTATTTGGATCCTTAATATAACTGACAATATTAGGAGAATAGCTAAAATTTTAAAAGTGATTATTAAATACGTTGGCGATTTCTATATTATACTGGAAGTGACCTTTTTATTGTTATTTTTGTCTATTAGTTGGTGGTGCTTATTAGAGATATACACTTTATTATTAACATATTTATAAAACTTGCTAATGTTATTTCCCTATACTAGGTTTAATTAAATTTTCAATTAGTAATTAGAAATGATTTGTTTGCAATTCCTAGCGTACTGTTTGTAAGCTGATTGGTTATAAATCGTTTTATTATTCGTCCATCTTTTCCATAATGCTTTCCGGCTTAAGATTTTTTCAATGTATTTTGGAAAGTGATTACTCGCTTTGTTGTAAAATTTTTTCATGATAGGTACAAATTCAATAATACTAGTACCAAAAACTTTAGAAATATGCTCCAGTAGTCCTTAATTGTGCATGCACAATTAGGGATTTCATTCAAATGGAAGCTGTTATTATAGTTTTAATTATGCAAGTTCTTTAATTTTGGACTCGGCCTACAACAAGTTTTTATTAAAACATAAAGAAAGACATAGAGTGGAAAAAATCCACTATTAATAAACAAATGAACCATGTAAAAATGACAAAAATAATCTAGTTCCTTTTGAAATGTTTTAAAAAGAAAAAAAAACATAACAGTTTTTTTTTCTTTTTAAAACATTTTTTACATTTTTTAATTGCATTTCTATTGTATTTTTTATTAGAAGGTCTTTACTAGTTCAACTTTATTTTAATATATGTCATAATTTAGCAAGTTCTTTTTTTTTCAATTCTTGTTCTGGCGTTGATTTTTGGCGATAAATATTACTTCGTTCTTTTTCTATTTGCTTTTAATTAAGTTTTCTTTCTTTCTCTATAATGTATACAAACTTGTTTTTGCGATTTATACATATTTCTAATATTTAAATCGTTCCTGTATTTTTGTGTAGTATATGTCAAATAAGTTATATTTTAAGTTAGTAACATAACTTTTAAGTACACAGTTAAATAAAATATTTAAATTACTCTTTATAATACGTGTTTTATTTAAGGTTTATCGAATTGAATATTTTTTCTTGACGCATTTGAATATCTAAAAGATGCATTTACAGTGACAAAAAAGAAATTACATTTTACTTTTTTCCAGTCAAAGATTTTATAATTTTTTTTTTCAATGCTTTTCTTAACGTCTCCTCATCTTTGTTTGTCAGTGAGCATCAAATCTCGCAATCAATTTTTGAGTCACATTCTAATGATAAATTTTCTTCAAATTTTGCATGCGCACTTTTGCTTGATGACTATACAATATTCATTAGTTAGTTTTGCAATAAGTGAATTAATTTAGCTAATTTTAATGAAGTTTATTTTTTATATGGATGAGAAGAAGTTGAAAAGAAGTTATTTATTTGATATGGTGTCAAGAGGTTGTTTGCATCCAGCTTATTGATTCTGCTACATTTTGAGAACAATTCATAAAGACATAAGCAAAAAAGTATTTTGTGGAAGCAAGTTATATGATGCGTGAGGCCTACAAGGAATACTTTGGAAACAATGTATTAAAAGGAATACAGTCGCGGACCAAGACAAACTTTGGGCGACACATTTCACATGCGAATATTTCAAAAAAGTATTTGAAGGTAAACTGTACAGCTGCTTATTTCTTAGTTGTATTTTAATTCATTTTTATAAACTTACTTTAGATCTAGTTTAATTAAAAGAGTTTACAAAGTTTTACCATAAGCCGTGTGCTGTAGGCAAACATCTTGAAATCGTATTTTGAAACTTCTTGTCCTCAAATTTACTTTACCTAAAAAACACGTTTCATCTTGAATCCATATTTTGAAAATTCTTGTCCTCAAATTAATATAACTCTTTTGTTTTAACATGTACTATATTACAGGTTGGTACAGAGGAGAAAAGCGAGCCGTGAAGTTAAGAATCCAACGAATTTAGTAAGAGCCGACGGACTACGCAAGCAACTGCTACTTTTGCGTGGTAAAATCAAAAAAACAACTGCAACAAAACTGTTTGGTGCAGTTTTGTTGCAGTTGTTCAGGGCTTTCTAGGTAATCACAAACCTTAAAACTACGTGGAGTTGGTGCGGACTCTCATAAAGAATTGCATTTGGAGGCTACTTTGAGAGATTGATTAACAGTACAATGAAAAACCTAGAAAATCACAAAAATTGTGCTTAATGAAGTCATTTTTTCACTCACTCAAAAACGCACACACATATATGTATATTTCTTGTTTTACCATTACTTATAGCGAAATAATTGTTTGGAATAATCACTATAAATACAAAAACAGCTATTATGTAAACAGTATTTTTAAGGCAAACTATACAAAAATATCTACACATTAACTACACATTTGAAAAATAAATTTATTAAAAAGAAAAATAATAATAATAAGTAGAAAAAAAAAATAGAATAAAAAAAATCATAAATTTATTAAAAACATTTTTTTAAACATATTTTTCATCATATAAAAATATTTTATTATTAGACAGAAGTTTAAACTCAAAAACTCGGTTAAAAACAAAATTTTGTGCAAAACTAAATTGAGCATATGTATACTCTAGAATAACAACTAATTTATATTTTATTGAAAATTATGTTTTTTAAGTTTATTTTATAATTCTATTTTTATAATTTTTTTTCAAAATGTATAAAATTGTTTTAGTAATCCAATAAAATTTACGGTAAAACAAAATTTTTAATAACTGATTTGATTTTATAACTTTTTTAAAATTTCATATTTTGTAAAATAAAAAAAAGTCATTGCATTTTCAAAAGTATTAGTTTAAACTTTTATAAATTTATACTAGATAAATTAATATAAAGTTAATTGAGATGATAAAGTAAGTTTTCAAAAAGTAAACGAATGTTCATTCTTAGGTGTTCAACGTGAAAAATTACTAAGTGAAGTTCATCGCTACTTTTTAGAAGATACAAAAAGGTCGACCATAGTATTATATGGAATGTCGGGTGTTGGAAAGACACAGATAGCCAAAAGATATTGCAAAATATATCATACCTTCTATAAGAACTTTGTTTGGATAGACGCAACATTTGGAAAGTTACAGACTTCAGTTAAAAACCACTGTCAAATATTAGAACTTATCATTTATGATACGAAAGGGGATTACTTTAATATAGAGGTTATTGTTGAAAAAATTCACAACTATTACAAAAATGAAAAAACTTTGTATGTTTTTGACAATGTCGATGATGAAAGTGTTAAAAGTTTGAAAATGTACATTTCAAGGAAACCGAATTCTTTTACAATAATTACCTCTCAATGGAGAACCTGGTCAAACAAAGTTAATAAGATGTTTATTGATGTTTTTTCTCCTGAAGATGCCTTCACTTATGTAAAAAATAATTGTAAAGAATATACCAATAAAAAGATTAGAAACTTAATTAAAGAACTTGGTTATCATCCGTTTGCGATAACTCAAGCAATAAAATATATAAATATACATAAAATTTCTATAGAAAAGTATATAGATCGATATAGAAGCAATCCCTTAGAAATATTAAACACTGATTTCTTTCCAACTGAAGATGAATCAAAGTCTGCAATAAAAGCAATCAATTTAGTTTTAATAAAATTAGAAAAAACTAAAGTTATTCCATTTAAAATAGTTAACTGTTTATCTCATTGCGACGGTCAAAATATCAGCAAAACATTTATAATCCAAATCTTAAATCAAATAAAAATAAGCGAAGAACATATTATTGATGAAACAATTGGATTACTGTTAAGTTATTCTTTACTGAATTGTTATGATGATGAAAAATATTCAATGCACGAACTGACACAGTTGACGTGTAAATGTTTTCAAAGTAGAAATTCGAGTACAATTACATATTTTGATCTAATCAAAAAGTGTTTTAAATTTGAGTTAAACGAAGTAAAAGATCACGCGGATTTCGGAAATCATTTTGTTTTTCATTTTCTCCATATGTTCCGTAATAATAGAAAGATAATGTCAAAAACCTTCCACCATATGACAACTTCTATTAAAAAGTTTTTAGTATGTAAAGGTTTATTTGAAGAAGCAATCGAAATTTTGAAAGCTGTTCAAAGTTTTAATGCAGAAAATTATAGAGAAATTAACGAACTTACGAATAATATACAATATAATATTGCAGACTGTTTGTACGAAATGGGAAAATACATTGAAGCTTTAGAAATATTTGAATCTGTTGATAAAATTCAAACTGAAAGTTTAGGTATTAACGATCCATCTACAATGGAAACAAAACAAAATATAGCTTTATGTTTAAACTCAGTCGGAAATTTCAGCAAAGCTTTAGATATTTTGAAATATGTTGATAAATCACAAACTGAAATTTTAGGTAATAACCATCCAAATACAAATAAAACAAAACATAGAATTGCATGCTGTTTAAGCAGTATGGGAAAATATAATGAAGCTTTGGAAATTTATTCTTCTATTGATAAAATACAAACTAAAACTTTAGGTAAAAACCATCCAGATTCAATAAAAATAAAACATTGTTTCGCAAATTGTCTGAACAATATGGGGAAATATAACGAAGCTTTACAAATTAATTATTCTGTCAATATATTAGAAACTGAAATTTTAGGTACCAACCATCCAGAGACAATGAAAACAAGACATAATATCGCAAACTGTTTGAGTAATATGGGAAAGTATAAAGAAGCTATAAAAATATATTATTCTGTTGATGAAATAAAAATAAAGATTTTAGGTATTAACCATCCAGATACAATGAGAACAAAGCATGGTATCGCAAGCTGTTTAAAAAATATGGGAAATTATAACGAAGCTATAGAACTTTTATATTCTGTTGATAAAATACAAACTGAAAGTTTAGGTATCAAACATCCAGATACATTGACAACAAAATATAATATTGCAAGCTGTCTGGACATTATGGGAAAATATAACGAAGCTTTAGAAATTTATTATTCTGTTGATGAAATACAACTTATACTTTTCGGTATATACCATCCAGATACAATGAGAACAAAACATAATATCGCGCTCTGTTTAAGCAATATGGGAAAATATAAAGATGCTTTTGAAATATTTTGTTCTGTTGATAAAATGCAAACTGAGGTTTTAGGTATCAACCATCCAGATACAATGACAACAAAACATAATATCGCAAACTGTTTGAACAAAATGGGAAAATTTGAAAATGCTTTAGAAATTTATTATTTTGTTGATAAAGAACAGACTAAGCTTTTAGGTATTAACCATCCAGATACAATGAAAATAAAAAATAATATCGCAAGCTGTTTGAACAATATGGGAAAATATAACGAAGCTTTGCAAATTTATTACTCCGTTGAGAAAATTATAACTGAAACTTTAGGTATCAACCATCCATACACATGGACAACAAAAAATAATATTGCAAACTGTTTGAGTAATATGGGAAAATACAACGATGGTTTAAAACTATTATATTCTGTTGATAAAATACGAACGGAAAGTTTAGGTATTAATCATCCAGATACAATGAAAACAAAGCATAAAATTGCGAACTGTTTGAACAAGATAGGAAAAAATAACGAAGCTTTAGAAATTTATTATTCTGTTGATAAAATACAAACTAAACATTTAGGTATCAACCATCCAGATACGTTGAAAACAAAACATAATATTGCACTCTGTTTGAGCAATATGGGAAAATATAAAGATGCTTTTGAAATATTTTGTTCTGTTGATAAAATACAAACTGAGATTTTAGGTATTAATCATCCAGATACAATGACATCAAAACATAATATTGCAAACTGTTTGAACAAAACGGGAAAATTTGACAATGCTTTAGAAATTTATTATTCTGTTGATAAAGAGCAAACTAAACTACTAGGTATCAACCATCCAGATACAATGAAAATAAAAAACAATATTGCTTGCTGTTTGGAAAAAATGGGAAAATATAACGAAGCTTTAGAAATTTTTTATTCTGTTGATAAAATACGAACTGAAATTTTAGGTACCAACAACCAAGATACAATGAAAACAAAACGTAATATCGCGGTCTGCTTGTATCTCATGAGAAAATTTAAAAAAGCTTTAGAAATTTTTTATTCTGTTAATAAAATACAAACTGAAATTTTAGGTTTAAACCATGCAGATACAATGCTAACCAAAAGATATATTGCAATCTGTTTGATTCATTTGAATAAACGGCAAAATAGCTTTTTTAATGAATAAATTTTTTATTCTATATATATTTATCAGTATTCTTATTCTGTTGTTAAAATGTAATCTGTCTAACATCTTCTTTTAAAAGTTAATACAGTCGTAAAATATTTATTTAAATATATTCACAAAAACTTGTTTTTCTTTAGCAATTGAGTTGCGGATATTTGAGTAAATAGAAACAAGTTAGTAACTGTTATTAAATATTAAACAAACACAATTACAATTTACAATGTTACTACCACGTAAATCCCTATTATTTAACGATAACAAAGTTTGAATAAAAAAAGCAGACAAATTATTTGATGCCACCATAGGAGAGTTTGATGGTATCGAGGTATGTGGTTAGAGTTTTCCTTAATTTCTAAAATTCTCAGTTTTATACTAAGTTTTGGTCTGTATAGAGGTGAATGGTTGGCCGCGAACAAAAATGCTAGCGGGCCGCAAATGGAAAAAGTTGAAAAAACATATCACTAAGATATTCAAAAGTATTAACCTTGATATTTCTATTCAATGCTACATAAAATCAGTGAGATATTTTTTTATTGTATTAATCTTTTACGATTGCAGGTTCAAACCTTACTATAAACCTGAAAGTTTGTTAAACTATATCCATACTACCTTTAATCAAAAAGTATTTTACCTCCATTAAATAAAGAATGTCATCAAACTCCTCTAGCAAAATAAGTTTCGAAAACTCTGCTCCTATTTATAAAAAAACTCTGCTCCTATAGGAGCAATAGTAGTGCAGTTAGAGATCTGTGCAGTTAGAGATAGTGGTGCAGTTAGAGATCTGGCTCAGAACCCAGAGGTCCGCGGTTCGACGCCGGCTCTAGCCCAATAAGCGACATTGGGAAAAAAGGAGGGGTGAACTTCTTGTTAAATGCTCTTCCGCGGTGCTCCATGATAAGATCGTAAGGATTTCTGGGAGCACATTAATAACCTAAAAAATATTTTTTTACAAAAAAGTCTTCATAAAGTCTGGGCATTGCAACAACATCCGTTATTGTGCTAATTTAAATTTACTCATAGCTAATCATCATAATATTAAAAGCACACAAAACATTATATGTTTTAATCCCTTTTTCAGTAAAAACGTAGTCACCAAATAAGAAAATCTTTTCTTGACTTTTTTTCTTCTTATATATATTTGCTGTTAGTTAACTAACAGCAAATTTATATAATTAAATAAACAAAATTTATTTAATTAAATAAACAAAAAGATATTGAAATTAAATAAAAACCTGGCACGAGCTAAAAGAGAAATTGTCTTATCGCTGAGCCCCCGTTACATTGGTGTTTTGTAAACGTTTTTATTATTTACATGCGAAATAAATAATCAATAAAATAGTATATACACAAAAAAACTTAAAAAAAACTTTAAAAGGAAAAATAGAAACTTTTAACAGCAATATTTCAACGGAATAATTGAAGTAATAAAATAAAACAAAAGATAGATTAAAAATGATGAAACATAAATAAATATTTATTACTAGTTATTTAATTTCAACAGATGCACGACAAAAACAAAAAAAAATTAAAACTTTAAACAATTTTTTAAGAATTTAAACAGAAACACCGTCAAAATAAATTACAATTGCATGCCAAATGTTAATGACTTGTATCTGAGATTTAATAATTAAATCATGTGTGAATTAATAATAGTTTTTAAGTTACACAACCAACACAATATGCGCAATAAAATTACCAATAATATTATAAACTGTAATAATATAAAAAGAGCTACGTGTCCTTTAAAAAATCCAATGCCTAACTAAAAATAATGTTTGCTTGGCTACTCTGACATCACCTAACGTCAACGATGCTAAGAAATCTTATACTGGTATAACCCATTTTCAAAACGATGTAATTTTTGCATACTAAGAAATATTTTATTTTAACAATACCGTCTAAAACCTTTGCCAAAAAAAAAATTGAAATGGTTTTGGCATGTTAACACAGAAAAAGGTTTTGCTATCGATCTTCGACACCTTTTAGATAAATTGCTATTTGATCTTGTTGCAATTATTTTATTTTCAACATCTTTACTTCAAACAGCGATGCAAGCAACAACTGTAAGATTTGGAAATTACTGGAAAGGAAAAGATAAAGTTTATAAAGCAAGATAACAATAGACAGATGACTTAAAAGATTGCAGTTTATATAAATCAAGAAAACAAGATAAAGGAAGCGAATTCCAAAGAACTAATGTTCGATAAAAAAAAAAAACTAGACAAATAAGAAATTCGGAGCACATAGAAATAATCGTTGTAAATGATAAGACTTAATTGAAAGACAAGTAACGCGGAAACGATTTTTAGTAAATGGCATAAAAGACGCTAGCTCTTTTAGAGCAGTATTTGTAGAAATGTTATAATAGTTAGATATTGGCTGCAAATGCAGGTCCAACAATGCGTTTTTGCACCTAGTCTAAAAGAGAAAACGCATCATTGGAAGATCCGCCCCAGATATGGCAAGATATGTTGTACTACTGTTGCCAGATATGGCAACAGTAGTACATGCAAAAAGATTTTTGAGATTTATAAAGAAAAAGAGTACAATTGGAAGTAAAAAAGTGGCAAGTACAATAAAGAAACGCAACCTTAGCAGATGCTAAATTTGCAATAGATTTATATATGATTTTAAAAAAATGATCAAAATTAAGAGTTAATCATAAAAGATAAAGGATAGATGATTCAACTAGCACATTACCGTTTATAAATATAGGAAGATCTAGATTATCACATAAACGATAATCTGAAAAAAGTAAAGTTTTATCTGAGTTAAAGTTCACCAGCAACTGAGAGGCATGCTGTAACAGAAGTAAGATCTTTTTCAAGCTCAAATGCACCCACAAGCAATCAGAAACTTAACTTTTTTTCAATAGAAACATAAAAGATAGTATCATCAGTAAACAATGCTAACTTTCTGTTAAAATGTTACGATGTTAAAATTTCTATATGATCGTTGATGTAAATTAAAAAGAGTTTAGGGACAAGGACAGAACCTTAGGAGTCCCTGAAGTTAAACGATACAAAAAAGAGTGCTGTCCATTGAGAACAACAACTATACTACAATTGGTAAAAAAGGTTTCAATAACCTTAAAAGATATTAAAAAATTGAAAGCGATAGACTTAACCTCTCTACATCTAATGCACAACAAAACCTATTGGTTATTACCGTTAATAAATCAATGATGAGAAATTATTTTTAAAAAAAAGTTATTTGTTAAGATAAGAGATAAAGTGTTTGTTAATTAAATTCTCAAAAACCTTGCTTATTATAGGAAAAAGAGTAGTTGAATGGTAGTAAGACCAGTCAGATCACCGGAGTTTTAAAAAATAAGGATAACAGAAGCCTTTTCAACAAGCTGGAAAACAAGACCCTTATGGGCACTAGTAAAATAGTTTTTAAAATATAGACAACAGCTCCTGAGTACACTTCTGCAAAACTATGCAAGGTTTGTTGTCCGGACCACAAGCTGTAGAAGAGTCTAAGCAGGAAATCACTTTAGATGCAGCAGCTGGAGTTATATGAATGTCAAGCAATTGATCAACATATTTTTTGGCTATATCAGGTAGAACGTAACTAGTGGAATCAAGAGATGATATTGATGAAAAGTTGTTTGTAACCAATTCAGTTTAGGTGAGGTGACAAAATCTGAACCATAATGACCAAGAGAGGTGGAATAACAGATTTGGTCTTAAAATAAATACTGTTAAAGATTCTCCAAAAGTCACGAGAGCCCATTTTGAGATAAAATTTTGTTATTTTAGAATAGCGGACTATAGAATTAGGCATAACCTTTTTACAATGGTTTTCAGCAAAAGTAAACAGATTTCCGTTTTCTAAAGATTTGTTTTGCTGATAGATATGGAATTTCGATTTCGATTAAAAATTGTAGCAGCTTAATATGAGAAAAACGAAGGTGAAGAATAAGGTTTCACTTGGAATTATGGAAAAGGAACAAAAGATTCCATGCCAGTCTGAGTCCAAGAAGTTATACAAAAATTACATTTCTCAGTAGGAAGATAACAAAATCTACTTATTGCCATCGAAAAGAAAATCACGGAATGAGTCTAAGTCAGCATTAAAGTATTTGTTAGACTGATAAGGGGTTCTAATAATAATGAAGGATAAGGCAATAGTTTTAGAGGCATCAAACCATAATACCAAGCACTTAAGGGTGAATGTGGAGATACTGAACACTGATTAGAATTAGAAATAAGACACAGGTCAAGTAAAAAAGGTAAATGATTTGAATTGTCTGAAAAGTAATTTGGAAATATGACTATTCGAATTAGAGATTTAGTACAAATATATATATATTTATATATATATATAAATATATATTTATATATATATATAAATATATATTTATATATATATATATATATATATTTTATATATATATATATATATATAAGTATATATATATATATATATATTTATATATATATAAATATATATATATATATATATATATAAATGTATAAATATATATATATATATATATATATATATATATATAAATATATATATATATATATAAATATATATATATATATATATATATATATATATATATATATATATATATATATATGTGTGTGTGTGTGTGTGTGTGTGTGTGTGTGTGTGTGTGTGTGTGTGTGTGTGTGTGTGTGTGTGTGTTTGTATATTTCACATAATATATTACTTTATTATAAAAATCATTAAATAAACCCGCTTACCGAAAAAATTTAATTTTTAATTAAATTTCCTACGCAAAAACGTTTCACATAAAAAAAAGTTATAAAAGTATTTTATAGAACGTTACAAAGATATCGTAGTTACGATACTGTGGGTTAAAACCCATTTTTGTTGGCAATAATTATTTTTATTTTTCTTAAGCAAATAATGATTTCCTTATTAACACCCGATTGACGTCTTTTCGACCTCTTTTTTGAAGAGGTCTTTTTAAAAGACGTCTTTCGACGTCTTTATTTTGGCTGAATATAAAAAGGCTTAACAAGTCATAAAAAAAGAC